GCCTCCTCTCCCCCACCGTTATACGGCGGCCGGAGAGCGGTCTTCTCATCCGGACACCGCTCTCCTTCTTCTTCCTCGCCGTTATATTCGCTCAACTCCTTCGGGACGTCGTAAACCTTAAACCCCAAATCTTCCATGTCGATATCCCCATCGTCGCCGCCGTCATTCAGGCTCGAATCGCCGCCGCACGAGCAATCATCATCGGCCGCTCCGCTAACCGCCGCCGCCGCACGGCTGCAGTGGTCCCACTCGCGGAAAGCCATCTCCAGTTCCGAGAGCTTTTCCGTGATGTACAGCAGGTGGGTCGTCGGCTTCTTCGGCGGCGACTGGCGGCGCGATGCCATCTCCGCCGCCACGAGCTCCTTCAGCGACTCCAGCCGCTGCTCCACGCCGTCCGACAGGAGGTCGTGGTGCGGCGTCTCCGGCGGAAGAGTGAGCAGCTCCACCACTTTCGCTTCCAGTTCTCGTAGCTTCTTCCTCAGCGTCGTGTACCTTCTCGCCATCGCCATGGGTTTGCGTAGTTTCATCAACGTTAATTCGATCTGTTCCTTAAATTCAGTTTCGAGTTTCCTAACATCGAAAAGGCAAGTGGCAACAGGCGTGACGGTTAAAGGCAGTTGAGGCTAATTTGGGCCCTGTTCACTATTGGGCCTACAACGGGTCAAAAAGGAACAATCCATTTGGAAATACAAGAGATATTTCATCTTTTTACATAGGCCCAATTTGGATATCTTATAGCCAAGAATCAAATGAAGTTAGCATAAAGATCGATCCATAAAATGATATGAGTATCACTATTTATACGCAAATTATGCCGTGGAATCGTGTTCACCGAGAATGGTGAACACAAGTCAAAACAACGTCGTTTTTAGGCAAAAAAAAAAAAAAAAAAGTCGCGGATGTGGAGTTAACGGCGCGTTACTGATCAAATTATGAATTTTCTGTTATGAGATTATGAATTTTATGAAAATTCATAATCTCATAACAGAAAATTCATAATCGCATAACAGAAAATTTATAATCGCATAACAGAAAATTCATAATCGCATAACAGAAAATTCATAATTTCACAACTGAAAATTCATAATCTCATAACAGAAAATTCATAATCTTATAACAGAAAATTCATAATCTCATGGTTCCAAAGTGAATGTGTAGGCATGGTTCAAAAGTGAATGTGCAGGCATGGATTCATAATTTATGAATGTCCGTGATTTCGGACGGGAATATGTAGGCATGGTTCCAAAGTGAATGTGCATGCATGAATTCATAATTTATGAATGTCCGAAACTCCGAAATTACGAATGTAATGAAAATTCATAATCTCATAACCGAAAATTCATAATCGCATAACAGAAAATTCATAATCTCATAACTGAAAATTCATAATCTCATAACAGAAAATTCATAATCTCATAACAGAAAATTCATAATCTCATGGTTCCAAAGTGAATGTGTAGGCATGGTTCCAAAGTGAATGTGTAGGCAGTCACGTAATTAATTAAAAGAAAAAGAAAAAGAAGAAAAAAAAAAAAAAAAAAAAAGATAACGGTGCACTAACACCGTTGGAACCGTGTTCACCATTCCATGAATGGTGAACACGGTTCCATGGCATAACGTCTGCTATTTATAGGGGCAAATACAGCTAATTGTTATGCCATGGACCCAAGTCCAAAACGCGCGTATGAAATAACGGTGCTGTTAGTTGCATCGTTTCCTCAATTAATGATATATTTTTTTTTTTTTTGTGAATATAAAGTTCAAAAATTGTATTGTAATGTTGATATAATTGTGAATATAGAGTTTAAAAATTGTAAATATAGAGTTCTGCAATTGTGAATATTGAGTTTTGTAATTTTGTATATTGGGATCTAAAATTGTGAATATTCAGTCATAAAATTGTGAATATAGAGTTCTTCAATTGTGAATATTAAATTCTGTAATTTTGTATACTGAGATCTAAAATTGTGAATATTCAATTCTAAAATTTTAAATATAGAGTTTTAAAATTGTGAATATAGATGAATGAATTCTGAAGACAAACGTCGTTTTGAAGCAAAACGAAACCGTTTTGGACCCAGGTCCACAACATAATTTGCCAAATACAACTGTGTGAACCACGATCCAAAACGACGTCGTTGAATTTTATGAGTTAAAATAATGTACTTTATGCATTAGAATAATGTACATTATATGTTAGAATAATGAAACTTCTAAGGTAAGATAATGCACTTTATATTAAAATAATATACATTATGCTTTAGAATAATGTACATTATAAATTATAAAAATATATATTATAGTAAATAGCGTGAAATTGAAATTGTATGAAACGACATTATTTTTGAATCGTGGTCCACACGGCTGTTGGCCGGTTCGAACTATTTTCACACACAACACTAACAGGGCGTTTGGTTGGAGGGGGGGGGGGGGGGGGGGGGGGGAGGGAATTATGTGGGAAAGGAATTGTAATTTCATGGGAGTTGAATTACTGGGAATAAAGTGGGAATTTAAATTCCAGTGTTTGGTTGACAGGAATAGAATTACTGGGAATTTCAATTCCAATGTTTGGTATACATGGGAATTGAAAGGGAATAAGTAGTATAAAGTCAAAAATGTCCATTATTGTTGTTAGACATTAATTTTAAGTTAAAAAAGGAAGGGGTAATGTTGACTCATCACTATCTTTTTTTCCCAGGAACTAAAATACCAGGGGGGGACATGGGATTTTAATTCCATGAAAATGAGGGAATTGCAATTTCATGGAATTGCAATTCCCTCCAACCAAACTACGGAATTTAATGGTCTTTGAAATTAGGTGGAAATTAAGTGGGAAGGGAATTTAAAATCCCTCCAACCAAACGCCCTGTAATGGTTCTCTCGTATTTAACCTAACTATCATAATAACAACTCTTCAATGGCCAATTTGACCGGGTCACTCTTATAGATGAGGTTATCCATTTATCTTTTGAATCACTCTTGTGGTTAGACATATGAGCTTATTAAGATGAGGGGTTTATCCCATCGAGGACTATTATCCATTACATTGAGGAAAGACTATTATCCACGCAAAAAGATATATAAAGTAGGGAAAAATGTAATTTATGCCCCTCACAAATATGTCAATTATCAATGTTACCCCTGAATTATTAGTGGTGTAAATGTTGCCCCTTAATTTTCAAAACGTGACATATATTGTCCCTCCCCTGAATTATTAGTGATGTAAATGTGGTTACACGTCGTCTTTCTTGTTCGAAGACCGCGTTTTTTCCCTCAATTTTTCTTTCTTCGATTGTTCTGCTTCCGTTGACAATAATTTTTCTCCTTCTTCATATTAGGGAAGGGGCAATATATGTCACGTTTTAAAAATTGAGGGACAACATTTACACCACTGATAATTCACGGGTGACATTGATAATTGACATATTTGTGAGGGGTATAAATTACAATTTTCCCTATAAAGTATAGTCATGTCTAGCTTGAGAGTAGTTTTTTTTTTTTTTTTTTTTTTCTATAGTAATAAAAAATTAATAATTATAATTAATAATGATTTCATTTAATTATTAAATTATATTTCATTACACTAAATTTATTTAAAAAAAAAAAAAAACTATTGACAAAAGTCTAAATGGTATGGGTAAGTTTTTACTATTATCCATTATTGTATTTGGGATGTTTGGTAAATGGCTGTTAACTAATTCAGTTAGTAGGTTTGACTAGTTGATAACATTAGCTAATCTTTTAGAAATGTGTTTTGTAAATTAGTTGTTAGTTGATAGCTGATTGCATACAAAATGAATTTTTAAAAAAAAAAATTGATCAAAAAAACTACTTTGAGTAGCTTTTTGAATTGTAGCTAGCATTTTGGGGTAATAAGTTGTTATAAAAAAAAGCTAATTAATCAAACACTCATATTGATTAACTAAGTCAAACAATTTTTTTTTTTTTTTGAAAACAGTCAAACAGTTAATAGTGGTCAAATAAGCAAAAATTAGTTGATATAAGCTAACTATTTTACCAAATAGGGCCATTGAGTAGTAAATTAGTTGGTATGGACTATAATCTAGCACACAATAACTCACCCATTCACAACAAATTACAAAATTACATGCACCGAGTAAATCACATGCATTTAAGAGATCATGTACAATGAACTCAACGTAATAAGATTTTTTTTTATTCGTGTTACTATTTTATACCAAACATATTTATGTTTAAGTTTCATTTCTACTTTTGGAAAGAGTGATGAATCTTGATATATAGAACTAGGAAATAAAGATCGAAATCTTCGTTGTGGGCAATGAAGTAATTAATTAATCTTATAGTACTTTGGAACATGATAACTTTTTTGACTCATGAAATGATTTCATATAAAACCAGCTGCTATATTTATGTTTCATTTTTATTTTTAATTTTGGAGATTAGACGATCTTGTTAGTCAAACAAAATACAGATGCTATAGTCTTTCAATTTGTTCGTTGTTGTCAATATTTGATTTATGATCTAATTAATAAACTTTTGGCCTTATAAGTCATATATATACATTATTAATACTAATTAAATACACCATTTGTACACTTCTAGTACAACGTTAGTTGATGTCTGGTAAAAGAAAAAATATATATAATGCCAATAAAGTAAACACAAAAAGTCAACAACAGACCTCCCATATAAGAAATGTCACTACATGACCATCTGAGCATGAGATGCTTGGCCACAATATAATAATATATAATAAAACATTAATTAAAATTTTGATTAAATTTTATTAATGGAAACATGCATAAGATGGCCTCCAAAAGCTTGAAGACAATACTTCTACACATTAGCTATTAATTTGAAAAATTATTTGCTCGAATTCAAGCAAGGATAACATCAACAAACATAAACGATTCAAACCATATCTTTAATTACACTATATAATATTTGATGTTATAATTTAAATAATTGTATATCAATCTAATATTCTTAATATATTATAACAAATTCATAAATACTAGTTTTTATTAATGGAAACATAAGATGGCCTCCAATCTTGAAGGCAGTACAGTACATATAATGGCTATGATATGTTTGGGAAATAAAAACAGACTGATCGACGACACCTTCGATCTTATTCATGCACGGAATTTACGAACATCAAACGACACAACACATACATACGACCACAAATGAAACATTAATAGTACGTGAATAATATTATTATATTATTGTAATATTGCATGCAAAGCATACGTAGTATAGGCTTAGCAGGTGAAGCCACTTGGAACCTTGTGGCCACAGTTGTTGAGGATCAGGCTGAGGGCAAGCGGCACGTTAAGGTTTATTCCTAGAATGTTGGCTCGTATCGCCGTGCACAGACACACCGCCGCCTCCAGATCCGCCACCCTGGCGATCAAGCTGCAGCACGGCTGCGTTGGTGGATTTCCGATCACCACTCCCACCAGTCCTCCCAGTAAACCTGCACACACACCCAACTTCAAAGCATCCATTGGGCACTGTCCGGCTCCTCCGCCGCCGCCGCCACCACCGTTGCCACCGCCGTGGCTAGGAGGAGGGATAGCAGGGTGCCCATGACAAGTGATCAGAGGAAAGAAAAGAAGGTTGAGGGCAAGGAAAATGGTGGCTGGAGATTTAGGGTTTAAAGAAGCCATTTCAAGAATCTAATCTTTATCTGAAGAAGAAATGATTAGTGAGTTGATTGAACTCTCTCCTGCCAAAGCTACATATTTATACTGTCACAACAACCATACATATGTAGGTAGTTAATAACTAATTAAAAAAAAACATAATCTATATAATACAATTTTAATTTTTAATTTAATTATGGCCGGATCGGAGTTATGTTGTTGAGCTGTCTGTGGGGCCACCAATTAACTCATACAGGGCAGCACAAAACATATTCACTTACAGAAATGATTGTTGTGATTTTTTTCATGACTTCTACAAAATTTTGGAATCATTTTGCAATTGATTACCTTAAAATGATTACAACATTAATATTATCCTCTCACTTCCATTATCGATCCAAACTTCTTGTAAATTTTAAGAAGATTACAACTTTTCATATGCAAGACTATATATGTTAGTTGGAATTTGGTCGGATTACACTAATGACTAGTTAGGATGCATGTAAAGTTATGTCAATGTACAGTATAAGCAATTCTGTATTACAGAAAGTTGACTCTCTTTGCAATTTGTGATATTTGTGGTTATTATGCCCTCCATAGCTCTGGTAAACTGACGTACATCATTTCAGCACTACTAGCTACAATATCCATCCCTGTATTCATATTTGATAACATAATTAGTTTATCAGTTAATTTTTCTATCAATTAATTAAGGCTCGATCTCATGACTTTCAGTATATGAGAGTCACTACTGAGTACAAGGTGTCTGGCTTTTATATATGGATATTGGGGTGTGTAAAGCTAGAAATATTAGAACCAATGAATAATTAAATATCAAGATCAGATCAATAGTTCAAACTATAATAATATAATGTAAATCCAAATATAAAATATAGTATGAGTTTAATTTTTGTCAATCCTCATTCAATCATACTCATTGCATAGGGTACGTCTTCTTAATACAGATAGTGACAGTGAATTTTCCTCGTCATTCTGTATATAGTTGTGGCTGGCATGTGCATTCCTATTTGGGAAATTTATATTTGGGCAAAAAATTTTGTATACAAGCATTAACGTTATGAATATGACGTAATTACATTAACTTTTTATAGTCTTTGTCAATCACTTCTGAAAGTATTTTACCTCACCCATAGATAATAATAGAATCGTGTGGAATGTTTGTACTTTTTTTTTTTTTTTTTTTTTTTTTGGGTACTCAACTAATCAATTTATTTTAAATAATTTAATTTAAAATTTTTGTTTTTTTACAATTACAGGATGTCAGGTTCGAATCCTAAAAAGAAAGGGATCCAAATGAAAATTATGTAAACCTGTGCATATATATATATATATATATATATATATATATATATATATATATATATATATATATATATATATATATGGAAGGGATCGGGTGCATTTGTGGCTTCTCGTGCGGTTGTGCGGTAGATTAATGTGCGTGAGTTATATACTTAATGTGCGTGAGTCGCGTGCTTAATGTGCCTGAGATTTGTACTTAATATGCGTGAGTTTTGTGCTTAATATGCGTGAAGTTTGTGCTTAATGTGCGTGACTTAGTTCAGAATTACGAGCTCAGAAGGAAGCAGAACAGAAAGAGAAGGTGGGTGCATGAAGCTTTTTTGATTGTGTGTGAATGGATGGATATATGTAAACACACATATGGCTCTTCTGATTTTATGTTAAAAACAAGACAAATTCCATTCCTCCACCACTTCGTAACAAAAAACAAGAAGAAAATGCAGCAGTGGATGCGCATAATTTTCACAGCAGTGGATGAAGAACACACTCACGCACATTAAGCACAACTCACGCATCTTAGGCACAAGACTCACACACCTTAAGTACAAAACTTATGCACATTAACATTACACACCCACACACATTAAGTACAAATCTCAGACACATTAAGCACAATACTCACGCACATTAAATACAAACCTCACGCACATTAATCAACCGCACGGAAACCTTACACTATATATATATATATATATATATATATATTGTTTTTGTTTCTAACATTATTTAATTTTGTTAGTGAACTCGTAAATTAATTTTAAAAATAAAATACAATACAATGTATAAAATTATGTAGTTAGGCATGTTTTGGCTCATGTGGAAAGGGTTGAGTCGTTTAAGCGTTTAAGCATAAGATTGAGAGCTCAATTCACACGTGTGTATGATACAATAGCCTTTTAAAAATTAACTTTTGAATATGATTCAATTAATGTTCAATTAGATTAGCCTCCTCTCACGAAACATTATAACGATTGACGGTACATAGTTGAATTTTGGTTGGAGTCTAGAGTCTAGACTACTAGGTACACTGCACGAATGCTATTTTTCCTTTGCTCAATTATATAATGACTAGTTTTGTACGCGCATTGCGCGATTGGGATAATGCCTAATTTTTTTTTTTTTTAAATAAGTACTTTAAAGTATATTAAGGCAGGATTATATTGAAATTGTTCATGCATAGATAATTGAAGGTTGAATTTGCGTATTTAAATAGGTAATTCTTCTCCCAAAGGTTGAGTCCCCAACCCCAAGGGCCCCCCACACTCCGACCCGACAGAGCATTGTAGGAAGTTGTAAATCACGGTGACTCAATGGTTCAGCAGACAGGGCTAAATGCTGATACGCACAAGGAATCTGCCCACTTTGGACATAATTCCCGCATTGCCGCTGCTGAGGTTCAAACCTTGGTCTCTTCTCCCAAATACTACCCACTAAACCATTGAGCTAAGCTCGTGCGGGTTAAATAGGTAATTCTAAGTTTACAAATGCAAGATAATATAGTCAAGATTGATTATAATTGTCAATAAAATAATTGTATAGGTATGGTTGAAACCAAATACGGGACATAAGGGAAAACAAATAAAAATTAGGGCATAAAATATTAAATATATACTAATATTGTTTGAGGAGATTATGACATTAGGATTTGTGGTTAAGTTCTATTAAGACTTTAATATTAGAATTGGATTAATGGTGTAGTTATAATTCTATATTAGACTTTAATATTAGAATTAGACTAACGGAAAAGTTAAATGGATAATCATATAATTAAGGATAAATTATAAAATCTTAAAAGAAAAAAATTAAAACCTGAACAATATGAACCATTCATTTGATTTAATAATTTGGCGGTCATTTTTTCTACCCAATGTTAATAATTAAATAAATTCGCTGGTCAAATCTGCTAGTATAATCCGCTAACGCTAATCTCTAACTGCTGATTTTCAAACAAGGACATTGCGAGGTAGTTCTCACTTCAATTTGTTGTGTGATTTGAATACTCTCTTTGTCACAAAATCTCTCAAGTAGTTAATATGGTTGGCTTTATTAATTATATATATTTTTTAATTTTTTCATGGTATTAATAAAATACTTGGTAAATAAATATACAGCATTATTTTGTATTATAACTTTGATATTTAATTAGAAAAGTAGTGCACAAAAAAGATAATAGATAATGTAGTGAATATAATCAATTGATGAATTTGAATGTAAAATTTTTTACATTTGAGAAAAATAAAGACAATATAACTAATAAAAATATTTCTTTTAATTAATTTATTGATAATTAATAATTTTTTTTTCACTGAATAAAGACATTGTAAGGATAATGTAGCGAATATAATCAATTAATAAATTTGAATATAATGAATTTTTATATTGAAGAAAAATAAAGACAATATAACTAATAAAATTATTTCTTTTAATTAATTAATTGATAATTAATAATTTTTTTTTCACTGAATAAAGACATTGTAAGGATAATATTAGAATTAGACTAACGGTGAATTAACGGAAAAGTTAAATGGATAATCATATAATTAAGGATAAATTATAAAATCTTAAAAGAAAAAAATTAAAACCTGAACAATATGAACCATTCATTTGATTTAATAATTTGGCGGTCATTTTTTCTACCCAATGTTAATAATTAAATAAATTCGCTGGTCAAATATGCTAGTATAATCCGCTAACGCTAATCTCTAACTGCTGATTGTCAAACAAGGACATTGCGAGGTAGTTCTCACTTCAATTTGTTGTGTGATTTGAATACTCTCTTTGTCACAAAATCTCTCAAGTAGTTAATATGGTTGGCTTTATTAATTATATATTTTTTTTAATTTTTTCATGGTATTAATAAAATACTTGGTAAATAAATATACAGCATTATTTTGTATTATAACTTTGATATTTAATTAGAAAAGTAGTGCACAAAAAAGATAATAGATAATGTAGTGAATATAATCAATTGATGAATTTGAATGTAAAATTTTTTACATTTGAGAAAAATAAAGACAATATAACTAATGAAAATATTTCTTTTAATTAATTTATTGATAATTAATAATTTTTTTTTTCACTGAATAAAGACATTGTAAGGATAATGTAGCGAATATAATCAATTAATAAATTTGAATATAAGGAATTTTTATATTGAAGAAAAATAAAGACAATATAACTAATAAAATTATTTCTTTTAATTAATTTATTGATAATTAATAATTTTTTTTTCACTGAATAAAGACATTGTAAGGATAATGTAGCGAATATAATCAATTAATAAATTTGAATATAAAGAATTTTTATATTGAAGAAAAATAAAGACAATATAACTAATAAAATTATTTCTCTTATATAATTTATTGATAATGAATAATTTTTTTTTGAATAAAGACATTGTGGACACATAATTCTAAATTAAAGAAATGCATATGTATTATTTTTCGTTGTAACTACTAAATTATTATTTATATAATTTAATAAGAGTAAAATAGAGTACTAATTATGTCAACTTTGATTGGGATGAGGTTCGAACCTAAGACCTTTGAAATCAATGAGTAAGTTAACGGTGAACTAACGGCAATTCTTAAAATTTTAACAGAATTAGTAACGGTGTGTGGGTATTTTAGGAAATTTTAGTGTAAAATTTAAATCTGATCAATCTTTTAATTAATCTGAGCCATACATTTGATTAAAATCTG